TTTAACGGTCATGGGCAAATCGATTCACAATCCTGAATTAATAAGCAGCAAGCAGTTTTTAAGGATTCCGATGCTTGTTTCTTATTGTTACGAATGGAAGCAAAAATTCAACGTATCTTCTACAGAGGAGATAATAAAGAAACAGTACTGTATAGGATAATACAAAAGCAAAGCTTAGCTGCAATCCAATCGAGTTAAAAGCCTTTTTCATATTAAACGATTATTAAACCGCATATTAATTTACTGTAAACATCTCTTGATATTAGTGGAGCGTAAATTTTGAAGAGTTTTCCTAATAGAGTTCTGGTGCGAAAAAAAAGGTGAATGATTGCCAGGGCATTGTAATTAGTATTTAAATTGTTTGAGATGCGTTCACTTACAACCACAGAGACGTCGCAACGTTATCTGTTAACAAAGTTCACAGTGGCAAGTTTTACGGTGACTACTACTCCGGAGTTTGTCTGCAGGTAGCTTACGTGGGTCCAGCACCATGATGGCTTCACGCCCCCGAAGTCTGGTGGCACACGATATGTGAAAACGCACACTGAGCGTTCCGAGAGCAATTAGTCTCCGTGTCTCGGAAGCAAGCTCTTCGATGTAAGCATAATTAGATCACAGGTACCAAAGGAAAATACGTAAATTGACGTATTCCCCAACGATGAGAGCGATAAGCTATCTAAAATTTCTGGCTTTCATTGGGTAAGGCCACCCAGTCGAAATCGCAACTCCACACAGAGCAAAAGCTCTTCCCGCGAGTTGAGCTAACCACAGTCATCACGAAATTCCCGCAATGGAAAGCGAAATTTAATACCAAACACCATATAGGGCTACATAATATTCACTATTGTTCCTTTGTCCCGTTTTAAGATAATCGATGAATATTATACCCAGCGTATCCCAAAAGTACATACAGCGGTGCAGCGAACCACAGAGAACGTTAAAAGTCACCTTTGGCATCAACACTTAGTCACTTATGGGACGGTATGAAACTTCCAACGAGGTGAAGAGAAAAACAAAAAATATAAGATAAGTCTTAGACCTCCTGCCAAGAGCAGAAATACGTGAAAAAATCAAACAAAATTACCCTTCGTAGTTTCGAAGTGGCAATATCGTAGGATTTGTAGGATAATTGGGAATTCCCTGAGGTAAATTAAACTCCCCATTCCGAACTTTAAAGAAAAATTAATGGATAGTTTTTATGAGCGATAGAGAAAATGAAGTCGAAATCATTTACCGACCTCATGACGCGTTGTCCGAAAAGACGTATTGTTAGCATTTCCTTAATTGGCCATTACATGACACCGGCAATTGAGCATTAGCTACTTTGAAGGAAAAATATAACATACTGAAGGTTGAATGAAATCTTAAAAAAACAAAAAAAAAAAAATGTTCATTGGGTTTTTTTATTTTTATTTATTTTTTTTATTTATTTATTTTTTTTTTTATATCAAAACCAAATCGTTGATGTCGTCCTTATATATAATATATCTAACATCATGTTATCTACAATATGTAAGACCATTCATTCACTCACATTTCAATTTGTCTTTATTCGATTTTCGATTTGATTTACTGCAGATACGCGATAAGTAAAAAGAAAATTGTGTAAATTGAACTCTGGCATTCAAAAGTACTTGCCGAACAGCGCATAAACTCATTTAGTCATTGTTTATAAGAAAAAAAAAAATAGAAAATAAAATAAAATAATTTGCCTGCAATCAAACTATAGATTCTCACTAATATAAGCGAATGATAGATAAACTAAATAGCGCTGAGTCTAATAATAGAGATAGAATTCGTTCGTCTCAAATGTCAATGTCCATGAGGAATGAAATGAATTTGAAACTCGCAATGAATCATACCTTCTTGATTGTTTCGTAATAGCTATCAGATATTTATACGGAAAGCAAATTCCGGTATACGTGCGTAAGGCGCTAACCGTTTTCCGCATCCAGATTTCTAAATTCATACAAACTTATATATTGCCGCTTCCAAAATGATTTAAGCAGTTTTCAGTGCAATTCTCGGTACAAACTAAAGTCAGAGCAGATCATAGTATATAGATTTCTGATTCGAATGAATACAAAATCGATTTGACGATAAATATCGTGGTTATGTTTTTAAAATTTCTCTTACCAGAATAGACTATGAAATTAAATTAGATTAAACACTCCCCATGTTTGCCCATAATATTAGTTGTTTGGTTTTTCTTAGATTCGAGTCTTCGTTTTCTGTGTATTTATTTATGCATTTATTTATTTAGTTTTTTATTATTTATTCTTTTAAATAGAGAATTCAGCTGGAGAAACGTAAAATTATACACTTAAACAAACTGCGAAATTATAAGAAAAAATTGAAAAAAAAAAAAAAAAAAAATGCTCCATGTATACGAGTCAAAAGTAAACAAGAGAAAATAGACAAGACAAAAATTGTGTATACATCGAGCGGAGAGGCACACCCGCAGCCAATATACATCGGCGCTGAGAGTATACTACACCGACTCAAAAACGCAAAAGCTTTCCTATTTAATTTCAATTTAGTTTAGCCTAACGGATCGTATCGCGACGTTGAGAATTACAATTACATTACAACAAACGAGTGTAAAAAGAGAGTACACTCGACGCTACATATGCAAATCGATAGACAGATAACGCTTAATGGGCTAAATAAGATGCAAGGTTAAGGATATCGACGCCGACTGAGCTCACGAGTTCATTCTCCACCTCTATTTCTCAACTTTACCAGAACGGGAGTCTCGAAATTGAGTTCACATTTCTGTAGCGCAGATTAAGATGGGAAGGTAGGTAACAATTCATTTTCGCATGTTGGCAATTATAGAAGTGGATGGTAAGCCAGACTCCTTAACGTAAAAGCGCTTCCATACAGATTGGATAAATTCAGTGTGGCAATGATAGAAAGTCCACGATATACCAAAGAAGTGTATAGAACTTTGTGTTCACATTGAACCTTTTTTACTCAACACGGTGAATCATCTATGGAGAAGAAGAAGACAAAAGTGTATACTAATGTGGATCTGACCAAGCTCGCATGTAATTGATATCTTTGCAAGGCAAATATTATCAAATTCTTTAGAAAAGCGTTTAACAAGGTCTGCTAACATCGAAATGCAACATAGATTCTAAGCAAGGAAAACACATAAATCAAGGCACGAGCCAACATCGTCTAATTTGTCTAAATGAATAAAGCACTTAGTAGTACACGAATATCATCAGAGCCTAGAGTCAGAACCTTAAAGAAATTTTCCGTATCTTAAGCTTGGGCACACGCAACACTTTTTGACTTGATCTAAGCTTGTCTGTCCGTCTGTCCATCTTGCATTTTTATGTTCAATTCTACAGGTAGGAATTTTTAAAGATATCTTGATGACACTCGTTACACCGACGTATTTTAGTTCAGGACAAACCACTTTTTCGACCATTTCCCATCACTTATGATAGGCTGGTATCTTCAGTTTTTCCGAACGTATGCAACATCCAAGAAGTCTTTTATTGTACCGATCGTTTCAGAATCACTTTCTGAGTCGATCTAAGCTTGTCATTCCATCTTATATTCAGTGCAAATCTCGCAATGGTCGACCATGACCCGCTACAATGTCTTTACTTATTTTAATGTGAAGTTATTCAATTACATCAACAGCGTTGGGGATCACATTTTTTAAATCAGATTGTCAGAGGCGTATATGAATACGATTCTGCGTTAAATGAGAAGAACAACATGGAATGACTTAATGATCGATTGGAAATCGGTAAGGGCCTAAGTTACTGCCTGAGGCAACAAGGATTTCGCTGATGAATAAAACACAGTCCCAACGAAGAAGTGGGAAAATTGAGATAAAAAGTCGATACACGAGAATGTCTATTTCAATAACAGTTTAAAGTAAGTACGTTGTTCGATACTAGATGTTTAAATACAATAAAAAAAGCAGACGTAAAGACAGTGCTGCGAGGTACGTAAACACTAACGAAGATCTTCAGCCAGAACGAATCGCGAACAGTGACTTCAAAAAAAGCTAACTTTTGCGCATTAGAAAAGCTCCATGGAATTCCTTTATAATTTTAAATGTTAGTTAGCTGACGGCAACAGCAGATTTTTAGACAGAAAACAAATTACAAACAAACGCTTGACGTGATTTAAGCAAAACTAAAAACAATTGTTTGGTTCACTCCCATGACATCCATGACTTGACCTATGGACCGAAGCCAAGCGCGTGCATATCTATATCAGATTTCAGTTGACAACTTTGAGAACAACACGCAGGCGGATAGACGGATAAAATTAAATCGGGTCGGAATCGCAAGGCTAACTTGCTTATAGCTAGTTATGACCAACTTAGTAACACAAATCTCCCCATAGTAAGTGTAAAGAAGAAAATTAACAAAGATAAACATTTTAAAAAGAAAGCAATTTATAACGAAAATGATGATATATTGGGATAAATCGCATAGGAAAACTCCAAGTCGTAGTTTGCATTTATTTTTGTATGATTTACTGAAAGCCTTTGCTTTTAATACTAAACTCAAAGAGTAAGTAATAAAAACCTGCTACTGTTCATGTTATCTCCATATACTGTCTCCGTGGCATACAAAAAAAATGACTTGGGGGGTACCATGAAAAGTATTACGACGTGTTCTATGCGTTTTTATCTAATTTATTAATAGAAACAAATATACATATATATAAATGAATGAAAAAATTCTATTTAATTATTAATAAAAGTCGTACAAGCTTAAGCCATGTGCGGAAACTTTGAATTCAATACTGATACCGATAATTAAACAACGCTTTTAACACACACCAAGCACGAGAAAACAAACAAACAAGCAGGCAAAATGAATACATCCGCGTATATATATATATATATATTGTCAACGAATTGATTGGTAAGTTACGCGAGGCTTATATAGAATGACAACAACAAGTAAGCAAAATGAACGAGTCAGAGAGGTACAACTGTCTTGAAACGAATGTTGCATATCCTCCACTATTAATTAGAATCAGTTCAATTTGCATAAGTACTGAAAAGAAGTCTAGTCTTAAAGTATATAGAAAGCTGTAATGGTTTACAAAGTCTGGCCGTGAATTGAAATGCGAAATACTAGGGTCAATATTTAATTTATTTATTAATACTACTTATCATTATTAACATTTTTTTTTTTGTTTTGATTTAAGATTAACAAGTGAAATCATTGTGGTGAGCGGAACCTTCATTAAAAATCCTATACTACTTTGCTTAATACAATATAATAACAATATAACACCTTTTCAAAATAACACATTATCTATCTGGAAGGTGGTCGAATAAGTGGTCCACTTTGAATCACTTCCAAGGGCTGTCATGCTTGCGCCAAAATATTTCGGTTTACTAAATTTCGTCCAAATATCTCGAAAAATGCGCTGGAAAGATTGATTAAAAAAATACAGGACGGCCGGACGGACAGAGTAATTTAGATCGAGTCAGAAATTGATGCTTAATCGATCGGTATAATAAAAGGTCAGTCTATCTCAAATCCTTCTATGTGTTGCATACTTCCACACAAACTTAATAAAGTGTTATAACAGAGTTGATGTCGGGTATAAAAATTAACTTTTTTTTTTTTGCATGGCGTTTACTTGTTTCCATTCTGCAGATCTCGACATTACAAATGCATCCCGTTCGACCGACCCACCAATCATTCGAAGCATTAATCAAATTTACAAGAAATCGTAGAAGATGGACACATAAGCAACCATAACATTGCTAAGATATTATGGTATCGATTGCAAAAAGATTTTATACCATTTTCATATGCCTTAATGCAGTAAGCAGTTCGCCGTTTTGATCACTGAAATTGAAAAAAAAAATCGTGCATTATGCGGTCCTAGACCCATGCCACGTTGTCGTGTTGATGACCCAACAAAAATTGAGGAAATTTGGCGGAAAGATTTTAATGCATTCACAGAATAGACCTAACTATCACTTGCTTCGGTCTTTCTTGAAGTCTGCTTATGATGTAAAAGGTTCACTTCAATAGGTAGAAATCCCTTAGTTGAGCTCTTCCTCCAAGATTTTTGCAGTGATCTCATAATAGTTTTACCATAAAAATGACGGAAGGTTGCCGATAATAACATCTCTTACGTAACTCAATACAATTCATTTTGAATAAAAGAAAAATGTAATAAAACAAATAGCAAAATAAATCCCTCAATATATCTTCCCCTGCCAATTACACTTCATAGGGCCCCCAATAAAAAGAGTGAAATAAGTAGCTTTTTAGGCTTTTTATTTTTAATAGAATAAAACGGGATTTTTACCCATATTGAGCGATGATGTAAACATCAAATCTTTGATAACTAACCCCGTCTCTATCCGTTGTAGAGCAGAAAAAATTTAAAGTTAATTATCTTCACAAAGGAGATAAGTCACTGCACATTGGTCTTGGCTGAATTTCGACTCTAAATTGACATTCGTTTATGAGAATGGTATAAATTTTCGCTTTGTACGCTCGACACCATCATCACCATGATATTAAGAGTCCTCGACAAGCAATGCCATTTTAAACCAATCGCGTGATAGAGTAATTGTTGCACGAGATATGTGGCAGGCGATGCTACTCTTATTGAAAATAAACGTCGTCCGCATGCATAGCGTCATTTTCAGGTGAAAACGAGTCAATCGTTGTCGTTTGGTGAGGCATTAGTGCAGCGGCTGAACTAGTAGCGTGTTGTTCGCACATATATGAAACAATAGATATGATACCAGAATGTAATTTGTTACAATTGAAGAGTTTGGTCGACTATTTTTCTTGCATTTTCGCTAACTTATTAATAAACCGCATGTTAAATTTATTTTATTACACTCATCCCTCAAAGCAATTCGAAATAGGTCCAACTTCTAATACATGTACTAATCTATTCAGAATCATGTTCTGAATCGTAGCTTATAGATGACATTTTTTCAGTTTCTCTAATTAAGTTAACTACAGTCAAACCTGTTTTTGTGCGGTTGATAGGGACCGCAGAAAAAAAACCGCATAAAAAAAAATATTCAAAAACTTCATAAATAGCTATAAGAAATAATTTTTCACAGCATATTAAAGAAAATTTTTTTTTGTGCGGTAGAGAGGGACCGCATAAAAAAAGACCGCACAAAAACAGGTTTGAGTGTATATATAGTTTTTGCTTAAGAGCGAACCCCCGTTGAAAATTAATTATATAAAAAGTGTGAAAGAGATAGAGTCAAAAGCTCTTTTATATTGCAACAAATCCAACAAGTTTTTGGCACTGTATTATGAAAACTGATCCAATATATTTGACATATCTGACTAATGAGTTTACTAAGCAAGATTTCAACCACATTGGTCCTGCGATAAAATGTAGGCCTTTATGAAGTCTTCTTTTTTGGTATTATATAATAATAATAATAATAGATAAGCTTGTGATGGTCGGTCTTGCCTCTCAAAGCAACATTTCAACTTGTTCTTGTTTTTTTATTTTTCTTTCCTTCTTCGACTTAATTTTGCTCGTTTACCCATTACAAGTAAGTTAACTCTTCTTATTTGCATTGATCTTTGGAAATCTAACTACAACAACTTTCTATATTCAATTTCGTAACTTTGAAAGTTTCAACAATCAAAAAAATACGTGCACACACTGTTCTTAAGAAATCTTCAATAAATATTTCGAGATGTTACACAATATATGATTAGATTAGTATAACTTCATCATCCGGTGTTGATTATGAAGAGAAGAAACTAAAAAGTCTTTAAATCACCATTAATTATAGTAGTTCGAGGAGCACGAGAATAACACAAAAAAAAAAAAAAAAAAAAAATGATAAATAAAAAACAAAAAAGGCAACGACATCAAAGCAAAAAAAGAAGGGCTCTCCCACATAGACAAAACACATTAAATCATCTCAGCCGCCAGCAAATGATTTGAACAAACGCCGGAGCGCAAGAGTGCATCCAGCTAATGGGAATACTTAAGCACGGTAACCTCTGTACGTCAATGTATGTATATGTATCGTATGTGTGATTAAGTTGATGCGAATTACATGAATGCCTATAAAGTGCCACAAACTATCGTAACATACATTTTATAAACTTGCAATAATGACGACGATGACAATAATAGGAACAAAAACTACTACAAGGAATTAAAATGAAAATAATAACAATAATAACAACAATAAAATAAAAAATAAAATAAAAGAAAAACAAGTTATGAAGCACGTGAGTCACACTTGAGCAAAAAGAAATATACAGATGTGTAGATGTGTCAGCATTTTATACGTCAGCATACATATGTGTTTGCATGCATTAATGTACCTATATATGTGCATATAAAAGAGCTGCATTTTTCTTGAACACATTTACAAGCAAACTTAAACATTTATATAAAAGGCATTTGGAAAGGAAATTTAATGCATTAAGAAAATAGCAATGGCAGAGAGAAACGATTTTTTAATTGCTGCATACAAATAACTTTGAAGAGCTAATAGAAATTTAATAGTAGTTTAGAAATTTTTTTTCATTTCGAGGATATGTAAAAGTGAACTGATTATAGAAATTCTTTGCAAATCGAAATAGAAATCAAATAAGAGATATACACTTAGCTCCGCTTGAATCTTTCTTATACCCATCATCTTTGTCTTAAAAAAAAAAAAAAAAAAAAAAAAAAAAAAAACAAAAAGGAAAAGGAAAAGGAAGAGGAAAAAAAGAAAAGAAAATCAAGAAAATGAAATTTTAACGCAAATCACAACATTGAGTGGGCGTGCCAATTATTTTAAAATTGTTTTTACAACTTGTAAGATTCCATAGAATATATATATATATGTGAAAGGTTTTATCTTGAGCCATTTTCATTACTAACTTTCAATGTTTTTGGCAAGAATAGTGCTTACAATAGTGTTAGGCACAGACGAACACTCGGTTAATGTTGATCAAATATATACGCACATTATGGTGTCGCTTTGGATGCTGCAAACGATTTGATTAAATGAATATACCCCTTAAAAATTGACCACGCCTACCCAATATTATAGTGTATTCAAAATGAATTCTTTTATCAATTCCTTTGGAAGGCACAGAAGCAAGCTTCAAAAAATATATAACAAAGTATATAAATTCTTGTCCATTTTCAAATCCCGAATGCACCTAAGCATGGCCGTTTGTTCGTCTATCTATTTGTCCGTCTGACCAACTGTATAGTGTCTATGGTGAGCATTTTTTCGTTCCCAAAATGAAGATATCGCCTACAAGTTTGCAAAATAATTTGAAAATGACGCAAACCAGTCAACGAATACGACCAGTAAAGGGAAGTGAAAGTAGAAAAAATTTATCACGCCCACCAAATATTGCAAAGTATGAAAATTTAACTCTTTTTTTTTTTATTTTTTTAGTCGGTGATGGTTAAAAAAGATTTCCTTACTTATTTAGGTTAACGGTGATGAGCGTAAAAGATTCGGTCACTGCCGAATATAAATTTGTTGTTATTTATTACAAAAAAGAAAATATTTTCGTGGTATTCGGCTAACAATCATCGACAAAGCAACGTATTGGAGATATGCCTTTCCAGAGTCCCTATTCGCTTCGCACATTCGATGGAGGAGCTTAAACTTATTACAAAGCTTAATAATAGAAATATTCACCATAATCATCTATGGCCTTGTGCTTCCAATCTCAAATAGTAATTGCGGTAGAAACCTCGTGGCTGGTAAGTGAAACGGTCATCGACGCATTTTCGCATGCCATTAATTTAAGGGAACAGCTGATCGGCTACATATGACTGCATCGATCTGAATCAGTGCCAACCAGAAGCAGACATGAATAGCCGAGGTTCTAAGCCCAAGTTGAAGACCGTTTCCTGGGTCTTTTTTCACCGCGTAGAACAGATGGACGTTTACGCAAGTTCAATGTCCTCAAGACTAGAAGTCTTTTGCATGAAATCTCGCAAACCACTATGCTCTTCTAACTTAGTGCATTTTCGCCCCAGGCTAAGTTAATCATTTTCGTAGCTTCAATTGCATTTGTTTCCAAGAGTTAACATGTTGTATCATAAGTGCTGCTTGTTGACAAAATTGCACTTTGATTAAGACATCTCTGAAACTTAGACCGTAACCCCTCCAAAATCAAAGCTATCTAAAGCCAAAGTTTTGGGAGGAGAGAGAGCGACTAATACACTTACAACTTGTATTTTATCTGTAATATACCATCTTCTAAGGATAAAATATATGTTTTTCTGTTTTACTCATCATAGCAAGCTATACAGTGAGGGGTAATCGAATCTAAGACGGATATAATTTTTTTTTTTTTTTTATTTTTTTGTATTCTTTCGTTTTTTGTTTCTGCTTGACAATCACTTACCTTATATACTTGTATCTCTTCTAAAACCGCTTCAGACTCTTTCAAAACACGCTCTACCTCTTCGTAAACTTCACGTTCGATTTCTGTGGGTGCTGCATTTTCAAAATCCAAAAAGACATCGTAAGACTTCGCTGTGCAACAGTTGGAATCATCACGTGCCAATAAACTCAATAGTTTACCCATTTTTTTTTTTTTTTACCTTTTTTTCTTTATACACGTTAATTAGTGTTATTTACTTATGATATTATATGTATATATATATGTATATATATATATATGTATATAAATATATATATATATTTTTTTTTTTAATTTAAATTTCAATTAAAACAACTTTTTTGTCAAGTTAAAACTTTTTTAGAATCTTTAGAACACAAACATAATATTGCAAAATTTTTAAAAGTCCGACTTGAGTTTAATTTAACTTCGGCCCGCATAAGCATCGGCAGGTTTTTCTTTATCTTTCTAATTACGCCAATGATTGTATGAGAACTACTAACATCAAACCTGTAAAATGAATAGTAAGTAGATCATAATAAATATATGACGACAGGCCGTAGCCATTTATATATATTGATATAAATCTTGATACAAATATTTACCAGAACTGTCTTAAGCTTTTATGCAATTGTGGAGATGTAGTAACTCATATATAAAATACTTTATAATTTTTAGACTCGCGTATATTAAATCAATTTTTATTTTTTGCGCTTAAAATTCTTACAAGTTAAGGATTCTTCAAAACCCATATGCAACATTATTGGATTTTCTAAATTGATTTGATCATATCAGGTCGATCGTCCGCTAATGTTATTGAAGGCGGCCCATACTTGAACGCATAGCTCTTCGTTGCATAAAGCTAAAAATGGCTATCAAACATTTGCCCCAAGCTAAATATAACTTTCTTGCCTATGTTAACAATAAAATCCTTTGACAAGATATTTGTTGTGAATATTATGAAAACGCCTCGCTCTTGGCTTGCCATGGTTTATAGTTAATTTCAAGAATTTTCAAAAACTTATTTTGAGTATTATTTATTAACATATTATTGATGATGATATCCATATTTTCGCGATATATCCTTAGATGGAAGGGTGCTCAAAACTTCTACTCACACGTAATGCAAACTTAGTGTACTTTATTTTAACAAGGACCTGAGCAATGTTCATATATTTTATATTTGTGAGAAATCCTCAATGAGAGGCGTCCTGAAAATAGATCTCTTCGATCTAAACTTATCAGAATCAATCATATCACTATTTTATACCGACTTTCTACAACTTTGTTGCTATATAAAAACTGATTTCTTATAAGCGCAGTTATGTATATATATATACACATATATAGAGGAAGGTTGCAAAACTGGTTTTATCTCATCCAAATTTTCCAGTTTTTTCAGTGAATTTTGGGAAACTTTTTTTTTCTTTTTTCTTTTTGTAGAAGAATGTTTTCGAAGCATAAGAATGTGCATGAGTAGACGAGGAGGGGGCGAGGGTCGCGACTAGCAACTCAATGCTCAATGCGAGTTCAAATCTCAAGTGAGAGTAGAGGCTTTCAATACAAGCGGGCAAAATATGACATAAGTTATCCTTGCAGTCTTCAAATTTGTAAAGGTCTCAGAAGAGAGAAAGAGCGGCGGACAAAGAAGATAAATTTAACCCGGCTCAGGAAATGATTCGAAATGGATCGGTAATAATAAGAGATGAATATAGTTCAAATTCTTTCGGGTACTGTACACATCTGGATACTTTTAACTTAACCTCGCCACAAGTAGTATAAAGTCCGATTAATTAAGTCTCTAAACTAATTCCTTCGTCCGAACGTCTCGCAGTTTTTGTTGCTTTTGACTTCAGGTCTTCACAATGTTTTCATTTAAAAAGGCATGCAACACGTAATCATAGGATTTCTTCTTCTTCTTAATGATGTTTGTGAACCCCTTTCAAAATAAAGAACAAAAGTCGCCGATGTTTACATCTGTGTTTCAATAGCTATTATATATAAATTATTTATAAAATTTATATAACAGATGAAAAACGAAAATAGCAGCTGTTGCCCGATAAAATCCATTTCAACTTAATAACAATCAATAAACATGTCAATATGTAGCACAAAAAAAAAGGGGGGAAAAAAAGATCAAGACCGAAAAGTAAAATAAATGTTTTTGATATTTAACACATTTTCATTTATGCATCAGCACACGGTGAAAGCGTACTAAAAAAATGGACGCCAGGCACCCTATAGAGCACGCATGACACATACCTCATCGGTATGACGTCCTAGTACAATTTCGCTTTATCAGAATGCCTCTCGTTGCAACTAACACAAATAAGTAAAAATAATTGTCGCCGAGTAAGTTATAGATGACATTGTTAGCAAAAAAAAGTGCGTCGTAGCGCCGTATGCCCTTCATAGCAATACAATACATAATATATCATAAAATGCTGAATCCTTGTATCAAATGCTGAATCAGTTCAAAGAGATTCTTTCAAGAGTATTTTCTTTCTTCTTGCTTTGAAAAAAGATACGAAAATTATTATTATAAATAAGTAAAATTTAGTCAGAGCATAAATTCTAAGACTAAACTCTTATAAAGCACTAGCAGGCATCTAGGGCTATCGGCTTTATTATTAAAAACTCTACCTCACTTGAGATTTGAATCCACGACCATTGGAGTTAGCCAATCGAGACTGTTGCCTACTCGGCCACTCAGGCGGATTACGAAAACTAATTAATTAATGATCAATTTATTGGGGAATGTAACTTTTTAGGCGCATGAACATTCATTCATGCTGATTCACGGTCAGTTCAAATTTGCAACTGCAACTAGAAATGTTTGACTGTTTCCATGATATGCTTTTTTAAGATTGCGTATAAGAGATCGTTGGATTTAACGAAGATCCCAGGCATCAGAGTTGAGTAAACATAATACAGATAATACAGGTGAACTATAGATAAAAAAGCTATTAGTGAGAGAAAGGTATAGCGTGCGTTAAATTTCGAAATATAACCCTCTCCCTCCTTCTTTCTCTCTCTTTCGCTTTCTATCTCTCTTAGGGACATTTGTGTTGATTTCAAAGGATAAGACTTCAGCTTCAAAACAGACAAAGTGGCAAAACTAGTCAAAAATGCATAAGCGCGTAAGACGCACAGCTGTGATCTGGTTATGGCCAAATGAAGAAGGCTTAACCTTCGAAAGTCAAAATACCCATAGAATTCATTTGACTTGACTGCTACTCACTATTATGTTTTCCCAAAAAGAGAAATATTATCGACCGAAGGCACTGATGAGCAGCCGTGTTCCCCGGGTTCAAATCTCAATACATACGAGTTCGGTCATGGTTACAGTGGGTGATTAGACGCTACTGCTTGTGCGCACAATCATTAGGCTGCGCTTGCTTTCCTACCTTTTTCTCTTTCCCAACTTTTTTCCGACCGTCGCCATATTACACGACTATGGATCATTCCCTGAATGATTGCAAATTTTTTTCTGAAATTTCCTTTGCAGTATTGAGTAGACTCCTTTAATGTTATTTGATCCTGAGTCTCTGAGATGAAATGAGTTCGATAATATATATTAGTAACCAAAAAAAAAAAAAAAGGTTCATTTAGAGAGCATTCAACGTCCATCTAGAGGCGAGACGGATGGACATCTTCTATAGGCTAAAAATAGAACGAGTTTGCGAAATATTCTAAGAAGGGATAATGGGGGTGAACTGACAATGTAGCAATTCATTCTTTGCTATGTTTCGAGTCTGTTATGGTTACGTAAAACTTTCCATATAGGTGAAAAAGGTCGAAAGTGTTGCGGCGCTATCGTCACCCATAGCGAAACCAAACCCTTTAACAAGCATATTAGACTTCCGCATTAGATATAATGAGCAATGGGAAATGCGGCTATTGATTGGTAAATAAAATAATGCTGCTCCTGAAGGTGTTTGCAATTTAACATTTGTCTTTATGCATCAACAAGGGGAGAAGGGAAAACTCACGTACCCGATTTTATCTAATACACACACATTTTTTAGCTCGAGAAAGGAGAGCTACTTCGGTTTGCCTAATTTGTGCTACCTATCGCATCAACAAGAAGGAACGATAGACAAAAATTTCGAACAATACAGGGCCTTACGCAAATTTCGAATTTTTCTTTGTTGTGCAGAAGTCAGCCGGCTACTTTCAGGAAACTTATATATAACTCTATAAATATTAAGTTATTTCAAGTAGGTTCGAAGCTATTTTTAGAAACTCATGTCCTTCTTCGAAAGGGTTTTTGCTTACCCTAAGTGGTCAAGCGCATCTATTTTTCGCTATCTGTATTTCTTTATGTGTAGCACCGAAAGTTAGGGGATAAAATCATTTTGTCAAAATTTTCTCCCAAAGAGATGCGTAAGCCCATATAGTGTAGGCATTTCGGTTCATCTGTTTGCGTAATGCTTACGTGTTTGCAAAGGTAATTCCGATCGCAAAAATTACGAAATCCAATTCAAATTTCCCAAAAACATTCGAAATGGGAACGGAATCAAAGTACACGTCTGTCGTACAACATAAATTAAGAGCATCTCGGTTCCCTGAACTAACAAACTGGATTCTTGACTTATACCCCATAAACACCAGCACAAACAACAATAAAGAATCTCACGTACACCCTATGGGTGATTCTATAATATCTGCACAAAAGTGAAAAAAATCAACCGTGTCCACCCATTATTATAGAGCATCGAAATTCTATTTTATTTTCTTATTTTTTTTTTTAAAAGCGTAAAAGTCGCGGATATAAAAAAAATTCGATCACGGGAAATAATTCGGTTACTTCTCTTTTATGACACTTATTTCAGAGGGTGGAAATAAAAGTAAAAGGAAGCGTCGTAAATGGAATGAAATTAGGAGATTAAAAAAGGAAACTAACGAAGTTCTTTTCTTGTGACCAATCTCTTATCTCTGCCTGCCTCTTGATGTCCCTTGTACGTGTATTATTAAGGCAATGCTCGGTTGGAAATACATATATATGAAAAGATAGAGACATAGGGGTTTCGAAGGCGTATTGGTAGGAGTTGTGTCTTTACCTGTTGTACATTCGCACGCCAATGGTTATTAAAGTGGGCCCCCATCCTCGGAATTGAATTTGAAATGGTGGCTAAATATTCGCGCTTCTTATTTATAATTTCGTGCGGTAAATTATTTCTTACTCCTTTCTACTTATATCGGCTTCAACACTTGGCTTCAAACAAAAAATTAAAAATTTTCTATCAGGAATTTCTAGTTTTGTTCACGACAAAAGATATGTATGCCGGGGAGAAATCATTTCCGTTTTTCCTAATTTAAGAGCTTCAACGAGGAGAAAGGAGTTCAGTTGGAAAATAAAAATGTTCGATGTCCGTTCCAAAGGATTGACGAAATTAGCGTATATATGTTGTTTGGCGGTCATTGGATAAATGCAGTGAAAATCGTAGGAAAATTTATTTAATCTGAAATAGTCTTAATTGTTACGTCACGAATGTAACAGGCAACAACATGACATAACGCTTATTGATGTTCTAGAAAGTAAAACACAGGAAAAACGAAAAATTGTAAGAAAAATGAAAACTTTTTAAATAAGCAAGCATTAATACAATCAGTTAAGACCGAATGCTTAATACTTACAATGAGTGAGTTTAACAATTTTTATATCCACTACTGAACATGGAAGTATTCCATATTTGTTTTTCCTTTCGTGATAATTAAAGACCTCTTAAAGTGCATATGTCCTCGATTGGCATAAGAGTCTCAAACTACTTCGATGTGTCCGTCTGGCTGACTAGTAATTCAACGCTTACGATCTCAAGAAGAACCCAGACGGAAAGATAGAACTTGTGGTGCCTATTCATAATTAATGTATGCAGTTCATGTTCGGTCGCAGTGGAAAACTGGTAATTTATATTTCTTATAAAAGTTAGTCCTCAAATTTCAATAGATCCCTATCGGCTAATGATTGTACTAGACTACCTAAAGAAAGTAGAGCGCAACTTTTATATCTACTGTCGAAGATGAAGCACAGAGTAATGTAAAAAAAAAAAAAATTATATATATATAAGCTCGGTTACCTCTTCTATATAGATTCAACTTTAATTTGACTATATAAAGAGTAAGTTAAGCATTTGGAAATCATGAATTTAATGACAAAGATGACAAACTTTACCCTAGAGCGAAACAGTCTAACATAATGAAGATAATATGCCACAAAAACTGTAGGGTAACAAAGAATATTATATACACCTACACGCACAATGTACAATGTATTTGCGTACGTTTACAAAAACAAGATAATGATATTAAACAGTGCTTTTTATAATACTGCAACAACGTTTTGTATATGTATATATATATTCAATATGCTCTCTGTACATTACACTAAGGTTAACAGCTTCATATACATATTCCTGCTTGGTAGGGGGCGTTATTGTTGACAGGTTCATAGAAAAGAATACAGTTAACAAAACGCTTTAAAAAACCGGAGAATTTCCATGAATAAGCAAGAAATTGCGTTTTTCGGAAAATCCTGCATGTGTGCAAGTATATGATTAAGAGTGTGGCTTGGTGTATAATTAATGTTATCTTATTTGAGCATTTATACAATATATATGTTTACATTTGTGTATATAGTTTGCTGCACAGGCCTTATCTCGCGCTAAAATTTATAATAAAAAATTAAAACACACTAAATATAAATTTTAATATAAAGGAATTTATCTATGCGCTGCTGCCTGGTCACTAACAACAAAATTCCATTTCTTTCAACCTTACAAAGTGGTATGGTATTTTTTTCTTAAACATTTGAGGTATTAACGTCGTTATAGGATATAACATTTCCCTTGGTTTGATTAATTTTTATATATATCCGATAAGATTTTTTGCCTCTAATTTTTATTTTGTTGCTTCCATATAATTTATCAACTTATAATGCAATTTTGCAATATTATTTATATACATATGCGAATGCAAACACACACGCACCCGTGCATATGTTACATTGTAAACAAGCTCCTTTTTATCAGGGCCTTCTTATCACCTTTTTATGCTTACACTGGCTGCATTAATTGAATCTTTAGTTAAGTTAAATACTTCTCAAATTTATTTTTATATTTTGCTCATCTTTGTTTTTATTAAAATAGCATTAATATAAAAAAAGTAATAAAACACAATTTCTTGTAAGGCGAACGCGCACCTCTCTCTTAAAACACGCACGGCTGCAAATAAACAACTAAACTTAAACTACTAAACTAACAACTAACTAAATAGGAGCGAAATATAGCCAAGTATTGCCATAGCGGACAACCCATGTTATCGTTCTTTTTTTTGTTTAACATGGCTGCCAAGTCTTTCTATAGCTACATTTTTGCGGGCATAAGTTTTTTGGTCTGGTAACTCTAATGTGCATTGCCAATCAATTGTGAAATTTCTGGTACAGAAGATAAAATACCTCAATTAGTTTGTCTCTAGAATTTTTGTGCGTAAAAAGTTGTTAAACAAAAAAGTAATATTTCAAACGAAAAATCATTAAAAAGGAAGAATCATGGCCACTGATAATAGCAATCAATTAAATGATTTACAAATGCAGATCTTTGATAAAATAGCGAAAAACGATAAGGATGGTTTTAAGCAGCTGATAGGCCAACTTAAGGGAGGTGTGAATTTTGTCGATGAAAACGGCATGACTCCCCTACAACATGCCTGCTGCAAAGGCAATAAGGAAACTGTACAAATATTATTAGACATGGTAAGTGTTAATTAAAGCAAAAGGATGCCATCGAAGTCTCCACTCACTAATGCCTTTGGTTTGCAGGGAGCTGATATTAATTTCAATCAGCATGGAGCTAATTACACGCCATTACATTTTGCAGCTTTATCAGGCAACACAGAAATCTGTCGTATGCTTCTAGATGCTGGCATTAATCCCAACAGCGTTAACAGTGTATCGCGTACCGCATCTCAGATGGCGGCATTTGTGGGTAATCATGCTTGCGTGGAAACGATAAATAATTATGTTTCCAAAAGTCTACTAGAATATTATACACAACCGCAAGGTCTGCAAAAGGAACCTCTTCTATCACCTACTGTTTTGGATGCTTTCCACAAGTTTGTCGTAGAAGTTAATCTGCATCCCGTCCGTATTGTTTTGAATTTACAAACATTGGGTTTGTTAAAATATCTACCGGGCTTGCGCAAATCATTGGAATTAATGTGTGAAAAGGAAATGAAAAAACCGAGCGACGTTAATGAGTTAATGGCATTTAAATTTCATTACCTGCATTGGATTGTTTCAGAGTTGATGCGTTGTGAGGAGCAGTGTAAAGCGCAACGCAAGGATAAACCTAATATGAATTCGGAAGAGTTGGTTAAACATGATTTTGTGGAAATGTTTGTTAAACGCGTTCTTAAAGAGAACAAGCAAGGCCAACTTGATTATGTAGAATTTACAATACGAGATTGTGTACGCGAATTTCCCTTCCGGGAATGTACTATATTCCGTCAGGTGATATCAAAGTTGGCAGTCAAAGATTCCGCTTCTGCTCTCAGTGTTTTACACACAGCTATTAATGGTCAACGAGGATTTAACGATGACATATCCTATTGTAATGCGTGCGGCAATGAGAAGCCGGACAAGAAATGCTCCAAATGTAAAGCTGTGCAATATTGCGATCGTGAGTGTCAACGCTTGCACTGGTTTATGCATAAAAAATCTTGCAATCGCCCAACATCAAGCGCTGGAAATGCCAACGCGGCTATTCGAAAACCTATAGACACTAATGAATTACGTGAAGAGTTGTCTCGCATAACTGCTAGTTAAAAACCTGGCGAAAGAGTCTTCTTTTCATTTAATAAAAAGCTCTTTATGTTTATCATAAAGCAGACCACGCTAGTTTGGAAACCCGCCCCCTCTTATTGCATATGCCATATACAATACTTCATTTTCGTAAGAATAGTTATGTAATTAAGTTTCAAAGGTCATTAGGTCTATTTTGAAAATTTAATTCTTTCCAGTCTTTACTTGAATTTGAATAATATAATACGATATCATTTTTTTACTAAATGTTTCTAAATAAACAAAGGAAAAGAATTTAGTTCTTATAAAAATAAAATCGACAATGTGCACCATTAATCAATAGTCTCCTAGTTTTTTTTTGCCCCTACCCAAATTTTAAATTAATAGATTACATTAAAAAAAAAGGTCCAATTTCCTTATAAAAAAATTTCCTTTAGTCTATGAAATGGTAGCTTTCTTCATAAGGTATAATGTGAAAATTCTTTTGGACTTCAAATAATTCGGCAATAAAATTCTCGACTTTTGAAATTCGCCTTTTGTTTAATCTATTCCGTACGCAATCATATCACATCATATCTGCTTTTTATAATTGATTTCCCAAGTTGCCTTAAGTGGGTAAATCCGCCTTTTACGTTATGGCCTTGAAATTTTGAAAACCTATAAAATTGGAAGTGATAAGGGGCTAAGTTTACAGATTGTATTACATGTATAGATGTTCGATTCCATTAGTGAATTTTTGCTCCATTTGTGCTTAAAATCTCTTAATATCAACTTTTGTCCAAAACATTTCTTTACAAATCCTAAAGATATGCCTTCATTTTATTAAAAGCTTAAATGATCAAACATGCTCTCCTCCTAATTCATTTCAGCCAAAAAACATGCTAACATATTAAGTATTTCTTTAAGGTAGTGAAATAATTGATAAATTGATATATCTTCAAGATTTGTTTCAAGGGAAATATCGTTTTCTGGCTTTAAATTTAAATTCTCATCCAATATAAAAGGTGTTTGCCAAATCAAAATTATTTAAAAGGAAAATACACAAAATATCTTGACCTGAAGTATTAGGCACCGTTATAAAACAGGTGCAACTCATTAAGTGTATGTCGCGCGGCATATTCAAATGTTCATTTAAAACAATAGATTATGTATTTGGACGCGTGACGAGTGAGCGCATGGAAAGAAAACTAAATCGAGAGTCTCTGAAGAATCGTAAATACCTTTTTCTCAACTCGCTGCAGCTTGATCGGAAGGCATTGAAAAGTCATTTAATTCTCGAACGGTAAAAAGAAGACTCGCAGAAGCTGTCTTAAAAGGCTGTAAAGTCAGGAAAAACTCTAAGCCACTTAGAAAGGAATCGACAACATTAACATTATACCGGAGAAGATTGATTTAATGTTGTAATGGCCGACGAAATCATCCTTGAGGTAAGTTTTTATATCATCAGTATACAACAACAGTAAATAGTTGTTTAATTTACTTTCATATGAAACATAACCAACGTTGAGGGTGTTTTAAAATATTTTCAGGTATTTGGAACGATAAATGTGATGTTCTTGTCGACGAGGAATACCATCCTGCTTGTGTGATACCTACTACGATGCGGGCTGCATGGCTGCCGAGTGCATCAATGTGATAGAAACTGTCTTAATGCTGACACCAACATAAGCGACATCAAGTTCCAGCCGGTAAATGCTTATGTCACAAATCGGCGAACATCATGCATTGGCTTAGGGGTAACAATATTGCGCGGACTCTAGATCCGAATCCTATAGAGCATCTTTGAAGTATATTGAAACGCAAGACACGAGAGCACGATATTACATCAAAAGCAGCTTTCAAAAAAGCTTTAGCGTACGATTGCGAGGCCACTACCGCAGTTGAATGCGTATCCCAAAGGATTGCTGAGGTGATTAAAGCAATGTGTGGAGCCATCAAATATTAACTCAAATTTTATTGTCTAGTCAGTATATGAATATGGACCACAAATCTAGTTTTAGTTTTCATCTCGAATTTGACTATGCAATAAAGTGTAGGGTGCCTAACCCTACCTTTGCCCACGACATAAATGAAAAACTTGTAGCTAATAGGTGATGCCTTACCAAACGGCTGAAAGCAGAAATGAAAGCTACATTTTTCATACGTGATTATCCCCCAGTCTTGTCAAAAATATTATACAAAGACTTTACATCTAGTATTGCTTGTGTACGTCTTGGCATTGAAAAAGTAAAGCTTTCTTAAGGGCTTCTATGTCCACCTCAAATCCGGTGATTGGGAAGGAGAATGTACTTGTTTGGGGACAAAGTAGCCATAAATTGCCTTATAAAAGATTGACGTAAACGTGGCGATCCATTCTAGTCCCAATCAACACCAGTTTTCCTGTTTCCGCCGTAGAAATGCACCTCAAGCCGTGGCAGACTTACCATCGTGTTTTGCAGTTAGTAATCAATTTTGGATTCCCATTCCCGTATTAGATCATAGGCGTCATATTCCTTATTTACCTCTGTATCTGAATGTGTCAAACTTGAACTAGTCAGTAAAAATTATGTTTTTCCAAGAATTTATATAATCATTTTTACGGAGATTTGCAAGCTCTTTCCAGACTCTATCTAGCATATTAATTTCGCCTGTAAATGGTCTTCTTCTTGGGATGTGGGTATGAAAATCATTGACTCTTTAAACATTTCGAACGATTCCGGAATGAATTCTAATTGGCCTTTTGCCAATATCAACCAACAGCACTGCCTCTGGGCTTATTTGCTGCAGTGCTGATAAGATTTCTTTTTCCACGCTCTGTAAGTTTGCTTGGCCAGCCTGATCTCTACTTACTTTCTGTGGTTGTCTTTTTTATTTCTCCGTCCGAACTTTTCTCACTTCCTAACTTTATAATCACTTTTTTGATGTCTTGAGGAATCTCTTGAGCATTTTTGCATATTTTGTGACATTTTAACGAAAAGAAATAACGAAGTTCACTTTAGCTGATAAATTATTATTTAAATGTACGAAGACGAGTACAAAAATTAAGCACCCTAAGCAAAGATGTTTTTCTTTCGAACCTTGTAGTAGAGGTTTTCTACTAAATGTTTCCTTTCGAACCTTCTAGTAATGATCTTTTTGCGCTATTTTTTGGTATTGAAGTATATTTTTGCTATTTTCGTTTGTAACCTTATTTTAAGTCAAAAAAAATCTTGAATTTTTATTCAATATATTATTCAAGTTTTCGTTTGTTACGAAATATATTTTTTGACCCTCAACCTATAAATGGAGTCTTTAGTAAGAGTAATCTTAATTTTTGGTACTGTACGCATGTAAACTTTATTCGTTCACTGTATGTCAACATAAGTGCTAGTAAAATCTCATGGAATTTTCGTACTTATGTTATCAATAACAGTAGTGGCGCTGTTAATTAGCAACGATTTGTCTGCTTATTTTTTCATTTTCGTTATTTGCGTGGGTAAAAGTTCTGTAAATGGTTTCTTGACATAATGTCGCATCGCATAGAACGCTTATTTGGCAAAAGTATATCAAATAAAAAGCTTTGTAAGCCTCTTCAGTATATCCTATTTTTGATTCCAAGAAGCCTTTCAGATCACATTCTTCTGAGCCTTAACGTATTTCTAATTCGTGGATTCTATGAGATTGAAAAAAATGACAGTGTTAACGTCATTATGGCCGATAATAATTGGTTTTACTTCGTTGCTTTTGCCCCATATCGATAATACACTACTTTCACTACTTTCTCGACGGCTTTGCATTTAACAGAGGTTTCCCCCTGTTAAAATTGCATTTAACAGAGATTTCGCCCTGTTAAAATTATTTTGACTTTGCTGAGTATAAAATTCTGTTTCTGAGAGTAAAATTTACTTTCCTTTACATTTCTGATGAAAGATTTATTTTGACTTTGCTGAGAATAAAATGCTATTTCTAAGAGTAAAATTTATTTCCCGGTACATATCTTATGAAAGATGTTTTTGACTTTGCTGAGTATAAAGTTTGTTTTTTTCATATATTTTTTATTACTGTTTTTTTTTTTTTTTTTGTAAACAAATTATTCATTTTATATATTTTTATATATTTTTTTAAAATAATTTCACGCTACGTATTCAATTAATTAAGACTAAATGAAATCGAATTTATAAATAAAATAAAAACATAATAAAATATAAAAGTATATATACATACATAAATCATACATAGCTCGGAAAATACTGAACTTTCGTATATAAAAATGTAGACTGAAGAAATAACTGTAGAAATAACATAACCAATTAAACCTCCAATAATACAAACGAGTAAAGTTGATAATTTTAAGTTTTTATGTATAAAGGAATAATATTATTATAGGACTAGGAAAAATGACTAGACATCTTTTAAAGAGACTTATGCGACGGTTAAGGCTAATAAAGATGTTGTGAAATACTAAAGCGGGTATATGCGCTACGACTTAGATACAAGTCTAAATATACGAAAAAAAAAAATGCCATAGATTAGGCAGCAAATATAACTTGTTTTCATAACTTGTTGAAGAATTTTCAGTTTTATGTTCCCTACATCCTTTAATAAATTTCAATGAAAATTTACTACAAGAATATGAGGAAATTGTTTTTTTTATAATCAAGAAAAAAAAAACGTATATTACAGGAACAATTCATTATTTTTATTTAATAGGGTGGTGGAGGGTGTAACCGTGGATCCCACTACCATAGGTAATGGTGCATTCTAGTACCAGCGGCAACGATGGGTAATGGTGCATTCTATTGCGATGGATAATGGTGGACTCTAATAAAGCCTCAAAAAAGTGAAAAAAATACAATTGAATCACTTGTGACTTTGTGTATGTATGGCCGTTCCATTTTTACATTTTTGCATGTGAAGAGTAGAGTGTGTCGTCAAGTAAATGTGGATAATTTCGGTTTTCGAAAATCCAAAAATTTTTATCAGTTTATGTTTCACTGCGGACTTTTGCTCTGACTAATTTAACCCATTTTCAATACCTACCAGCACGCAAAAATTTCCAATATTTCTACCAAGTTTTAAGTCGACATCGTCACTTTGACGATCCGAAGAGTGCCAACAACAAACACCTCACAAACGAACAGATATAGCTTAATTAATTCAGTACTTATCCGCCTGAGTGATCGAAGGCGAGGAATCTCGACTAGCAACTCAATGGTCGCGGGTTCGAATCTCAAATGCGGTAAAGTTTTTAATAAAAGCCGATAGCCCTTAGATGCTAGTGCTTTAAGAGTTTAGTCTTAG